ATTCCTAATTCTTTGAAAAATGTGATAATATTTTTATCTATGAAATGAAAATAATGATAATAATTATATCATCATAACATAACCATATATTACTATCGTATCATGAATCCCATTTTACAAAAGAGAAAAATTAGGCTTAGAGAGGTTAAATAACTAGTCTGTGGTCACAGAGCTAGGAAATATATGAGAATGATATTTTTTCAGAACTAATATACATGTATTGTAGAGGGAGAAATTCAAATAATATAGACATGTACAGAGTAAAAAGTAAGAGTGCTTCTCCTCATCCACACCCAAGATCAGGTACAAAGATACTGATATCTTCTCTCACCACTTTTATTCAATATTTTCCTGGAGGTAGGGCAATAAGGCCAAAAAAAAAAGAAAGGAAGAAGTAAAACTATTCACAGATTACGTGACAATGTATACAGAAACTCCTAACGAGACTACAAAAACCTACTAGAACTAATAAGTAGGTCTGTCAAGGTCACAGGATAAAAGTTTAATGTATAAAAATTGATTATATTTCTATATACTAGCAATAAACAAATGCAAAATGAAAAATACAATTTATAGTACATTTCTAAAACATGAACTACATAGAGATAAATTTAACAAAATTTTTGCAAAATTTGTACACTGAAAAATACAAAACACTTTTAAAGAAGACCTAAATAAATGGAGAGACGATATAACACATCTGTGGATTGGAGCATACAATATATTAATAGGTCAATTTCCACTACATTGGCTTTTGATTACTTTTCAGTCAATTTTCACATAATGATTTATTGATTTTGTTGTATTTAGGCTGTATTTATTATTTGTTTTCTGTTTGTCTGATGTGCTTTATTCTACTGTTCCTCCCTTCCTGCCTCTGTTGTGTTAATTTAATTTTTTTAATGTTATTTTAATTTTTTCTCTATTTCTCTTTGTACTATTTCTAGTGGTTGCTCTAGTGATTACAATATGCAACTTAACTTCAACTTATTGTAGTCTATTTAGAGTTAATATTGAACTACTTCAAGTAAAATATTGGAACCTCATAACAATACGAGGGCACTTCAGAAAGTTCATGGAAAAATAGAATTAAAAGATAATACGAATCTTCCCATGAACTTTTTGAAGTACCATCGTATGTTTCTACTTACTTTTCCCATTCTTAATACTTTTGTTGTTATGAACTTTTTATCTATGTTTATTATAAACTCAACAATGCAATGTAATAATATTTTTGTTTTGAACAGTCATATATGCATTTTAGATAAATTAAGAAAAACAAAAATTCGGGGCCGGCCCAGTGGCGCACTGGATAGTGCGCTGCTTGGGAGCGCGGAGGCTCTCCCGCCGAGGGTTCGGATCCCATGTGGAGACCGGTTCCCGCTCACTGGCTGA